CCCCCCCCCCATCCGTAAAATACGCCACTACATGAAGCTATCGGCTTTGGGACATCCCTAACGGGAAGATTAAGTAGAAGAGAAGACGCATAAGAGAGGAACGTAGGCTTTTTCCCGTCTTAAACTTTCGAACCATGATTATTTCGCAAAAGCAGTGCATCCAGTTTCCAAACCACTCTCACTAGGGTAGAGGGCCCTTTTGTGGACGAGAGTCTATTTGTGGACGATTTAGCATTTTCTGCATTCCTGAAAAACCTACGCAATAAATTATTTTTCTTGTCAACTCGACTCTATGGATTCCGTCGCAGATTTTCTATGATGGCAGAAAATGCTAAATCCTTCACAAATTGGTTCGTCTACGAGCTAGCGCCGCCACCCAATTATGTTTTTCACCCGATTCCAACATTTCTCGCTTGGCTCCGATATCTATGCTATAAACGGGTTTCGGAGTTTCTGAAAAAGGGTTGTATTGGAGTGGAAAAAATGTCGTTTTAGAAAAATAACGAACTAGCAAGCCCTATAAACAAGATGAGAGTTGCTACACCGAGAAAACATCCTATTGAACAATATGATTAATTTCATGGTCAACTTCAGTTTTGAGATACACTCGGTAAAACTGAGAGAGTCTTTTAAAAGCAACTTCCCTTTAAGAATGCAACATTGTTGGAAGGGGACAGCTGCTGAAAGCTTTTCGAATAAAATTTCCCAATGATCAGTTTTGCTAACATGCCAGTAATTTGACGCCGACAACTCGATGACTCCACTTTGGGAATCTGGCAGCCTTGACTGGGCGGTGCTGGGCGGGAAGCAGGAAGCCACGAGGAACTCAGAAGACGTAATTTAGGCCCAAGGGAAGAAAAAATGACTGGTGTCATGGAAGCTAATCAGCCTCAGAATAAGGCTAACGGTAGACCTGGAGTTAACGGTGAGACTGAAGTCGTGTCATCAGCTTAGATATAGCCTAACAATTGAAAGTCTGGGCCTAACGTTAGGTCAAGTTTGACGTCATATATTGCGGTAATCGTTGGCCATGAAAGATATTGTGCCTTTTTTTCTTATTCCTCTTCGATGAATGTGGTTAGACTGTTAGTCCAGGGCGTAACTGAGCAATGGATTGAAATTGTGTGGTTTGAACATGCAGGTGACTTGAATGGTTTGGCCCTTCCTCACCCCCAGAGTCAGGGTCACACTCATCTGGATTTACTTTCACTCCATCAGGTTGGTCCATAGAAAAAATCCTTTGTAGGTCTACATTGTGATGGTTATGTATAACTTTGCATAGGCCTTTGATACAGGCCCATGGTTCTATACAGTGGTATGTTCATTTCTTACCACCATTGACTATTGACTGGTAGACCTAGCCAAGAACTCCATTCGTCGTCAGTCAATACAGACGACTGGAAAGAATCAGGAATCAAAGCATGAGGTCAGGACATCTGGTCAGAAGTAGAGGTATGAAATATGAGTATCAGTATGAGCAGACACTTCAGAAGTTTGTGACTGCTTACACTGACAGTTTACTGTAATGTTATGGGTGTGAGGCAACTTGCAGAGGGTGATGAACGCTGTGAGTGGTATTACAAGTGATCTTGATGGTTCTTTGTTTCTGCTCATCCTCATTTCAGCAGAAAAAGTCCCATATCTGGACTTCATTATAATGTTTACATGTGTGATAACTTATTGTTCTCAATCAAGCCAAAAAAACTTGACAGTATTGGTTAATTGGCCAATACCAGTCTTCGCTGATTCTTGTGATATCAACTGATATCTGACGCCTGATATTGCTCTTTATTCTTTTTTTATTTTAAAAGAGACAGGACGCGATGGACATACAGGATAACAGACGCATTTTACATGACACAGAAAGGAAGGGGGTGCCCACTTGGCACAAGCACCACATCCATATCATAGTCCCTTAGGCTGGGACACCCCTCTACAGTCCTGTAGGAGGCCTTAGGGGCAGCTCATGGGTTCCCTATGCCCATGACTGGCACGAGTGGTTTTTAAGGTGTACTACACCTGCATCTCATAGACGTGGCACACAGGGTGGCATGTGTGTTACCCCACGCTAAGCAGATATTCCCCGTGAAAGCAGGTGGGTCACCTGTCAGCAGAGGAAGAGCCTGCCATCAGATGGATGCGATCCCTTGCCTCCCCGGGTTTCACTCGGAAGCCAGAACCACTCGGCCACTCTTAGTCCATCCTTAATCATAATGCTCAACTTGGTTCTGAATTGCACAAAAGCTCAAGAGGTGCACTTGTTTTTGAGAACTGAGGGTAGGACGAGTCAGGAAAAGATTTGGAAGGTCTTATGCCTATAGATCCTTTAGCTACTTGTCCCAGCTATTGTGCATAATTTCAGCACCAATTTTTAGTAGCTGCTCTTGCAATGTATATATGATGTCAGATAGTGTTTGTGCAAGACCCATCATTCTCTTCATGGGGTTTGCTTCAGTTGATGAAAAGGCCACTCCACATTGATAGGTACAACTGATTTACTCCCCTGAGAAGCTGAATTCCAGTGTCTTTTGTCAGATTTTCACACCACTAAACCTCCCCCCACCTTGGTTACCACTTACCTAGAGAGATCGTGCCTGTGGGGCCTTGATTCCATGATCACAGAAAATATATATATTATTTTCTCATTGGCTGCTTACAGCACCACCAGTGGCAGAAAATTAAAGTAGATGTTTCAAAAAATATCTTAGAGCAAAGCAAGTGGTGCTATCTGTTGTAATTTACTGAAAATTAATGAACAAAATTCATTATGCATGCTGCACATTAAAGTTAGTTGAAGGGTTAATAGAGCATGCAAATTCATTTGCAATATGCTAGTCTATGAATTTTCTTTATTTTGACTACCCAACTTTTGACCAGGATGCCTCTAAAGGGTGAATATTCAATACTGATGGTGCCTTTTCATTTTATTCAGGAATCAGGATATATATGTATTCACACAGAAATCTGGATCTTATTGGTTACCTATCCTATTCTCCTCAGGAAACACAAGACAAGCAGCTAATAGGGAAAATTGTCATTCCTGGTACTTTGCAGTCCAACGGGTGTTCGGGGAAGCGGATGACAACTGAAGATATCCTTGAATTTACAGATCTTCTTAAAGTGAGTCTTTATGATGGGATGAGAGCTGTAGTTCCTCTGCTTTTGCTGTGTTTGTGACAGTCTTGACTATCTTTTCAGAGTATTCCTCATCATGAATGCTTGTTTCACCTCTTTTAAAGTGTTTCCTCCACCTATACTCATCCTTTTCATTTGTGTATGGTTCACTGTACATAGTTTTCATGTGTTCTTGAATTTTATTGCTACTAACACCAGAAATTCAATTACAGCCTATTGCTTGAGCTCACTGTCCATGGAAGTCAACATTATCAAGAGCTACAATACTACCACCAGTTTTGTTAAGCTTTGAGAAATGTATAAACTATCTTAAATGTTTCTTGAAATGTAAGAAATTCCACTCCGATTCATGCACTTGTCTGGGACCTTTATAGCAGATCTCCTCTTATTTCTCATACTCTTGGCTCCTGTGTCTCTGTGTGTCAATTTTTTCATTGATGGGGATTTGGATCTGAGAGCAGCTTAAAATTGTACTCTCCCTATTGTAGCTTGGTCATAAGCCCATCCCTGTTGCTGAACAGAAGAAGATCACTTCCTACAAGTCATGCTCCAGTCCATTCTTTGACCCAGGCTGTTTATCCTTGGATGATGGAAGTTACGATGGAATAAGGGAAGCACATGAGTCATATTTGACCAAGAAGGTAAGATGACTATTAGAATATTCCATGTGAAGGATAAGAGGGTCATTCTGTGTCAAATCAACACCGTGTTAAAATGTGACTTTTTCTGGTTTGAATGAAATTTGACAGGCTTATTTGCACCTATTAGAAAGTGACTCATAGCCATCATTGGGTTAATTTCTGTTCCTCAGATGTAAGGCCAAACCTTGGGTAGTGTATTCCCAGAATAAGTGCTTAGGCCAAATTGAGTCTCCCAAGGCTATTAGTGTTTGTTGATGTTACAAGGGTGTGGGTGTTGATAGGAGGATGGCTTAGCTAATGTTCCAGAGTTAGAGTGCAGTCTTGGGCCTTGAGCCACTTGTGCCTGGTACCTTATCATATTGTAATGTATCTTTATCTCCAAAATTACAAAGTGCCCAAGTTGAAATGTTTTCCAGAGGTAGCCATATGTCTTATCTGCTATTTACCTAATTCTTTTCAAAATCAAAGGGGGTTGTTTTTTGGTAATGTGAGGTCAAAGGTCATCAACACAACCTCCTTACTGAATGATAACTTTTAGTTTTTACCAAAACATATTTATATCAATGGAAAGGGCTGGAAAAGAACTAAAAAATGAGCCTGAGATGAGCTCTCTAGATTAATTAGAACAGAAGTTTCAGAGAGGAGACTGTATTGACGTACAGAAATAAGGCACCTTGAATTTTGTGACCTCATATCAGAGGAACCAGGGATCTAATGAACTCAATATTTGGTGTAGGTTAGTTTCTTACCATCGTTGAAAGGTGCACCAAATTTCATCCAATTCAGATGGGGTCACCTGAAAAATGTCCTCCGAATGTGTTGATTTGACACAGAATGACCCAAGAGGGTCATCCTTGCAATGACCATCTGTTCCCTGGTGTCATCTTGAATCATCTCATGGAGGTCCTTGTGCCAAGCAGGGACAGTAGCCTATCCTGAAGATATTCCCAAAGATGTCAGTGTCTTCATTGTGGCCCTCCTTGACATTGTCCTGGAAGTCCTGATGAAAGTATCTCTCAGTTATTACTTGAATCTGCAATGTTCTTTGAATGCCCCATGGCACATAATAACCAATTAGGATGTACCCATGAATGTCAACAGGGGCCTTCATGAGACACTTGTTCTTTGAATGACTGAGATAGTAATGGCATATTCCTCTTGTACCAGTGTTACACCAACCAATGAAGAATTTTTGCATTCTCATTTTCTACTTGGTGCAGGATATATCATATTTCACTCTAGATGCTGTGAATTCACTTTGGGTACATCACTTTGCTCTCTATCAGGGGCACAACCAAGGGGGGGGGGGGGTTCGGAGGGTCTGAACCCCCCCCCCCCCCCCCCCCCCCCCATGAAAAATCGTCAGCCGGGTGNTGGTGCACCTTTCAACGATGGTAAGAAACTAACCTACACCAAATATTGAGTTCATTAGATCCCTGGTTCCTCTGATATGAGGAAACACAGAAAGGTAGTAATGTCAAAGGGCAAGACTGTAGATGTCATGGAATGTCACTTGTGCTTAATGTCGAATGGAATGGAACCAGAATTCTAAAACATCGGAGAAGAGGAAATGTCAACTTGTCAAATGTCGAAAGATGTGATTTCTCACAGATTGATCCCTCCATGGGAGTGTGCAAACTTGACTTAGTTGAACAATATGCTCCTCGAAAGGGGCAACAAAGGGACTGGTGGAGCTATTTGAACTTCACTGTGTATATAACTGGAAAGTCATGAGGTCCCTTTCCACAGAGATGTGGCATCGATGATTTTCTAGTATTGTTCGAAAACCCATCCTAATGTCTTTCTCGTGATCCAAGAACTCCAGGAGGAGAATACACAGATCGGGAAATTAAAAAATTGGAAACTGGGATTCCCCAGAAAAAGAAGAGAAAGGTGGAAGAAACCCATCATCAATGGATACAGTCTTTTACCCTGGAATATTGAAACAGAGACGCCAATAACTTCTTGAGTGCGATTGCATACAATGTGAAATATTGAGTGACCAACTGCAATGATGGTCAAACTTTACTATCATTATTTTGAACAATTGTTTTCCTGAAATCCATGGAAAATTTTGACTGAAAAATGCTCTGCCTAACAAGTGCATTAAAAGTTCCATTCAACATTTATTCCATCTGCCTTTTCTCCTCTCGACATTGCTGTATTTCTACATTCTCTCCATCAACATTTTTGCAGTTGACTAGTTTCTTGTCAACATTTCTTCTTTTAACATTCCGAAGCACACCGCCCAAACCCCTGCTCATGATGGTATCTCTCTACTTCTCCATCCCCCTCTCCCCCAAGGGTGGGGGTCACAGAAAGATATCATGAGCACACGACCAGAGAGCGAGGTTGGAAAGGCACAAAGATAGGCAGTTAAACATGAAGGTCATGCCAGTTACATGTAGCAACTCACTTTAGTAAAGTGAGCCCGTCAAGGAAATGTCACACGAGCCGCTACTAAATTTTAAAATGAAAACTGAAGGATGACAATTCAAATAAAAGGCATGAATCATACAGGTTAATGAATTTCTAGTTGCACATCTGCGCAGTGATATTTGGGCTGAATTCAGAATTTAATTTAATTTAACTAATTTTAAGCTTTTCAGATATTGAATGTGCTTTCATCATTTAGTGTTCAAATTTGTTTCGACAATTTCATAACATTTTTCTTCGTTTGTGTGTTCTCACCATTTTGCAATTTTGTCTAGCATATCTCTCCTGATGATTTGATAACACCTTGCATTTGGAGACATTTGAAAGACAGATCATGCAAACTTCGAACCCCCCCCCAAACTTTAGGGCTGGTTCTATGGAGCACTGCTCTCTATGGAGGCAATGCAGGGTCTTCACTATCATTGCTGCCCCCTCCTGTGTCAACCTGATCCAAACAGAATTTAGTGTATTTACTTTAAAATTTTATTTTACTATATATACTTTTGTCTATTTGGAGGTACATTTACATAAAATTGTTAGTTTAGTGCAAATTGATTACATGATGAAGGAAATATGAAGCCAAGAGCCCAAATCAGTCCATGGGGCTCTGGTACTTTCCTCTACCTTCTGATAGATAGAAGTGATATTGATGCCCCAACTTGAACCAGTGTGCTCATGCAATTGCATCTACACATCAGTGTTAGAAGTGACATTCCTTAGAGTAATTTTGTGGATTGTGCCTCAGTGCCAAGCTTAGACCCTCTCCTGTATGAAACTTAAACCTCACATTTTCTCTGATCTCTTAAAATTTTAGGACCTTTTCAAAAATGCTCCCAGCATAAACCAATAGCTGGTTTTTATGTTGAATTCACAAACTCCCTCCTCTAATCATCCTCATTCCTCTCTGTTGTATAGTAGGGTCACTCTTAAGGCTGACACTCAAAGGAACTATTACATTAATGATACTATCATGCATATTATGAAAAAAACAGCCTGCTTTTTCTTTGTGGCTCTATAAGCAAGCCCTTAACTTTATGAGGGTGGGATAATAGAACAAATAGGGTCCTCAATGACTTTCTGCATTAGCACTCCTCTCAGAACCCTCAATCCCTTTTGTTCTTTCATGATGTGGAGGCTCTGCTTCAAATTGAAGTGGTTTGGATCCTAGTAACTTGCATTTGCAGTTTGTTCGATTAATTTGGGCCCTGGGAGGCACCTTCAAAAAGTTTCTCAGGAGATAATATTTTATGACTCCTTTATGACCTCCCCCTTCACCACCCACCATAAACAGAATGATAGATGGGGTGGCAAAATTCACTGGTGTCAGCCTAAAGAGTGGCCCTATTATACCTGTTGCTTTCATAAATGGACTCCAAGTTTGAGAATGATATTCTGGGATTGGTCCAACAAATTATATAAATCCAGAGCTGCTGTCATCTTTGCTAAGTTGCACCACTAGTATCCCAGAATTTTATTACATTTGGAAGTTATAGGAGATTCATACTCATGATATTTCAGATGATGGAAGACTATCAAGAAATGGCTGAGAAGGTTAATGTAGCCTCTGAAACCTTGGTAGGTTGGGGTGTTGATTGCATACCTTTGCCAAAGGGTGGGCCTTCACTCCAAGTTTCTCAACTTAGGAGTCCACAGCTTCAGCTCTATCAGGTATGTTCATACTGCAGAAGTTGTGGGAGATGTGATTTATTATTTTATTAAGTCTGTTGTTGTTGTCCTCTAGAACCTCGATGTAGCCAAGAAGTTGTTTGAGACAAAGGCAAAAGCGAAGGATATGAAAGCAGAAATCCTAAAAAGTCTTGATCATTCTGAGCTGGATGAGGATGATCACCTCCCTCACATGTGATGTTTTTATTTGAAGTTTTTTTCTAATCCATGCATTTCCAGACTTGGGGAATGCATGAATCATGCAGGCCACTTCTGACAGTTTTGTTTTTATGCTTTGCAGTGACATATGTCCACTATTGTTTTTATCTATTCAAAATGTATTTCAGAATGAAAATTGTTATGTGACTTGAGCGTTTGATTGGTCCACTCATGTTCATGAATGCTGTGTCTGTGCTGAGTGGATATGGGTTGATATGGTTGAGGTAAAGATAACAGAAGTCTTTCAGTCGCAGCTGATGATATAGCCTCAGGCTTTTATATTCCTTTCCTGGTTTTATGTCAGTTTCTGGGTCATTTAATCACTTGGAAATTTAGTTTAGTTTCAGTTACTCATGATACATTTTTTAAATTAATAATTTTCAACTGAGTAATTTGCAAATGTTACTACCACCATTTTGTGTAGAAGTAAAGCTGTGTGTTCTGTTTCTTGAAGATCCATGCATAAGTTAATATGTCCTCAAGTTTGTGTTATATGTAGGAGTTTTAAAAAATTTAGTCTCCAGGGTAAAGGAAGTTTTCACAAGGGAAGCACAGCGAAGGAAGGACCCCTTCATGTTCATAACATAGCTGCTTTCTTCTTTTGGGAAAATGAGGAGAGATGTCACAACTATCTCAAAATCACCATTACTCCATATCACCCGAATAAGTACCAACCCAGCTGCTGAAAGAAACATGTACTCCGTATGGAATAGTTTGATGTTCTGCCAAGGCTAACATCTTGCTGTACTCTTCTCATGTGACTTACACTACCTTGAAAGAACTTTAGATTTTTCATGGTATGGTGTGGTATGATTCATGATTGGACTAGTTTATAAATAAACAAAAATAGCTTTTGAATTTTCTCCTATATAATATTTTGGGTACCTGCTCCAAGCAGATGTAAATGAAATTGGCTCTATGATGCAATTGCCTTGGGCCTATAGATTGTTTATCATCAGGAATTGGGTAATAGGAGAAGTGTCAACTCGATCCTTTTCATGCATTTCATGTGAAATTTGCATGCAATACCTGCCTATGTGAAGTGCTATAGTGGAGCAAAGAGTGGTAGGATTTGAGCCAATGCTTATTGGAAAGGGAACTCCTAATCTATTGAAAGTTGGTAAGGAAGCTTTAATCTAGTGAAATGTGTATTACAAATAACTGGAAGAAAGGATATGATGACTATTTCATGGAGTTTTAGGGTAGACATCATAAAAACTGCCTAAAGAGAATGGAAAACATAAAAGGATCATTAGCTCGAATCCTGTCAATCCTGCTTTGTTCCTCTGTAATTTCAAGCACAAAAATTTTACCTGGAATCCAAGAAAAGGATAGTTAACACTATTTCTCACTGAAATATAAATCAGATGACACTGTTATGAGGCTTTAAATTGTCAATAACTATTTTCACTATATGCCCATTATCTCAAATTGGATGTTGAGTAAATTTTTTCAGAATAAAAAAAAATATAAATCGAATGAAAACTGGTAACATGATCACGGACTTTTATACCGAGTGGCCCCCCAAAAATGCGTCCTGTTTGACACTTTACGAAACCTGCTGTGAATGATCTAAGTTCGTGATGCTTTTGTATCAGAAACACCACAAAATTATTTTCAGAAAGTTTCATGTACCTAGGTTGTCTGAATAAAAATTGACAGTCGTTCTAAGTGGAGTTATGTACCTTTTCCATGCATGAGGTGGATGGAGTTTCAGGACTGTTCGAATGATTTCTTTCACTTGACGCCCTAAAGACTGCTTTTTATGACGTATTCTCGTCGTAGTATTCTGCACATGTTGTAGAATAGTAATAATATCGTACGTCATAGCATCAGAATCAATACTGCGCGAATACTACGGTGAGAACTGGCATGGAAAGCAACATTTACAGCGTCAAGGGAGAGAAATCATTCGAGCAGTCCTGAAAATTCATCCACATCATGCGCGGAAAAGGTACATTTTATGACCCCACTTTGAATGACTGTCGATTTTTATTCAGACAACTTAGGTTCATGAAACTTTCAGTAAACAAATTTTGTAGTCTCCAATGTGATACAAGAACATCACGAACCTAGATCATCTACAGCAGATTCTATAAAGCGTAAAACAGGACGCTTTTTTTTTCGTGCCACCAATTTTTCTTGCGAAGTCATTTCTATCTCGCTTATGGAGACCACTGATGTGAAGGGAGGAGCCTTTATGGAAAATGTAATCGAGCATATTTTTGCATATATTGACCTCACTACATACAAATGTGTTTTTAGTTATTTGAGTGAATTGCTTATTTTCACCCATGAACAGGGTGACCAGATTTTTTTTCCAGAAAAACAGACATTTTCAAGAAAATGTCATCCTTGCAATGCGAAAACCGGAACACAAGAATGGAAAGGAAAATTCAATCCTTTAAATTCATTGACTCCTTGTGCTCTCCCGGAAACGTCAGTGAATTTTAATTCATTATATTGGTTATTTGCATCCCTCAAAAACCAGGATATCTGGTCACTCTACCCTTGAAGGATGTAGAATGTTCACTAACATAAGATTTCAATCACCTGACTTCCCAATCTCAGGAGAGTCACATCTCTGACCACCCCCTTCGTGAAATTGTATGAAAGAGGAGAGGGAGGCTGGCATTTGTTCTACCTAGGGCAGTGGCGTATTTTACGGGAGGGAGGGGCGGGTGCAGGGGGAACGGCCGCTCCTGGAGCTTGGCGCCCCCTTGGAGGTAATAATTTTATACCCTTATATCACTCGGGTGGGGTTTGGTGCTCCCGCTCTATAGCCCTGCCCCCCCCCCCCCCCCCCCCCCCCCCCCCCCCCCCCCCCCATCTCTCCCCCCCCCCCCCCCCCCCCCCCTCCCCATCCCCGACTCTTCAGTCAAAATACGCCATCTACTTGGAGGCACCTGAAACCTTAACCCTTCTTGATGAGTTTCATCTACCTCAAAATTTGTTTGTTGCCTGCCTCTAATGAATTCCTCTAATCCCTCTAATGGGTTCCTGACATTATCGTCGCAGCCATAATGGCTGTGGATGATTCGTTACAGACGAAGTCGCGTGCATCGTTGATTGTAATAGTTTCGTTGCAGACACCGATCGTTGCACTTTCCTTATCACGAGGGCATTGCAGGGGCTGGGATTTCAAAGATAACTTCTCAGCCTAAGCAAGACACTGGCGGACTCCCTGGATGAAAACCCTAACAAATTAAAGCCCTGCCGTCAATTGCAGTTCATGAATAAGTAATGAAGTCAGAAATAAAAATTGTGAGGCACACCGCGGAGGAAAGCCAGTTTTTTTTTATGGGCCATTACTACTTAGCACAGATGTGATGCGCGTGTCCAAATTGCGCCGTTTCTTCTTCATCGGCTCTGGCATCTGCCCTCCGAGGAGACGTTCAACTTCCAGAGCTCCTTGTTCTAACAGCTAACCTCCTTGTTCAATGGGCATTGCTATGGGCATTGCTTTTTATTAATTTCGTCCGTGAAGGATGCATGCATAACAGTCTGCCAATGAAGACCTTGTGTCACCCCTTAGTATCATTTCCACATCTGGAATGCGAACAGCTTGCTGCTTTACGCCCACTTCTCTTGACCCCTCCCACGTACATTTCCTCAAAGTTATCAACAACGGAATCCGTGTCCACTACGAGATAGTGTAACGACCAAACGCGCATGTGACGTTTTGCTCGAAACGAACTGTCCACGACCATTTTGGCCGTGACGAAAGAGCCGTTCATTCATGGAATCTAGTCTGAAATATGAAAAATAGAGTGCTGCCTCTGCTTGCATGTACACCTCATTACCTCTTCATGCTTTTCCACCCGCATATTTTCCCATTCTATGGTGCATGCTTCCAGGCACGCCCTTCTGATTTATGTACTGAAAAGTGTACTTTCCCAGTCAGAGCTCTAGTAATAAAATGGACGCCTCCTGATTAGCAACTTAGTATTTTGAAAATTCACACATATCTTCTCATTGAAAAAAAAATCTGTGTAATTTTGTGTACTTTAGCATCAACGTGAGTTTCACGGCTGGCAGTTCTGAGTTAGCTGACAACTCCAATTCTCCTTTGTTCCTGAAAATAAAGGAGTAATTTGGGTGGAGCCTACTTCAATGCATTGCATTGTTACCATCACGAGGAACTTTTGTGCCATTTTTTGCTTTTTTGAACCTAAAAGGGCCCAAAGTGACCTGAAAAGCCTAAAGTTGGATACAAGTACAGAAATGGGGGTAAAAGGCATGCTAGATATGCTAATGCATATCTGTGAGAGATAGTGGTAGAATTTATTAGGTAAATATCCAAGTCAACAATTAACTTACCTGCCACTTAGCATTGGTTATAAATGTATTTCATTTATTGAAAATCAAAATGACCAAGTACTAGCCCTGGATCATAAGGCACACCTTGTTGCAAAATGAAGGGAACTCTTGAAGACACCTACAAAGGCATGTCTCCTTTACTTGCAATAGTGAAATCTGAATGCTGTCTGACCTTTACACACACATCGCTTGGCACCATTATTGAGAGGATAGTAAGGAGGAGGAGCTGTTGACTCAGTTCTTGGATGGTCTTGCAATAAGTCAATGTGCAGACAGTTTTCTCTTGAAAGCATTTCTTCACAGAAAAGTTGCTATAATTAAGGAAATGTTGCCATTTGAAAATTACAAAGGAATGAAAAGACCCATAACTGCATGATAATATTGTTTCATTATCAAAAGCAGGCATGAAAAAGTGCACTTTCTCAGAATATTTGAAAGCACTTGCATTTCTGTTTCCAGAGAACCACAGGAAATCTAAAAGTAAATCCATAAAACGTTTTTGTGATGAATCAGATAGGGAAGTTGTACTCTTGATTCGCAGATGTATCAAATAGCGTATGGGATTCTATTGCACCACATTGCCAGGTATGGACATTCCCTTCTTTTTGTAAATGTATTGTCATTTGCTTCCTCTTCAGTCATTATGGAGAGGATCTTAATCACAGTGCCCAAAGAGTGTACTTTTCTTTTGTTTCTCCTGAACAGAGCTATAGAAAGTTATGACAGATTTGCTTCTTGGGATAGCACAGTAAGTTCCTGCTAATGGCACTGAAATCAATTGCTGAAATACAGTTTCAAAAATTCGTTCTTGGCATATACCTAGGGATACACTCTTCACTCTTTGTACGTTTTATGCAATTAATGGGAGGGTTGCTAAATCCAAACTGCTCAATGATGGGCTTTTGGTGAGATAAGAAGGGCTGGCTGGTTGGTTGGTTGCAGTAGTGTCCCAAGCCAACTCTTCAGAGTTCAAGTTAATGAATATTCAGTTGACCAGCTTTCAAATCACCTTGATTACCTTTCATTTTTCTGAGATCCATGACTACCAATTTCCTTCTTTTTGACTGAAAAGGAAATGCCAAATGCAAGTGAGAACTCTAAATCACCCACCCATCTACCAAAATAAACAAAGAACCACATTGGTTTTGTGTTTTGAAGAAATTACATTTGTATTTGGGTACATGAATGGTAATCAGTAATCCCATTACTGAGGTAACTTATTCCCTTTTGGTGACCATGCTAACTCCCAAGAACTAGATGAAAAGATCTTGCAGAATCTTGCTGCAATCTGTTTTGGCATTACTAGCATATAAAAATGTAGTTTCAGTATTCACTGACAAAAACAATGACAGTATATGAATAGTTGCAAATGAGAGGTTCTGAAAATAGTGGAAATAAGATGGAATCAGAGTAAATCACTCAAAATGCATAATCTAACCCCAGAATAACTTTCTCTCCATCACTTCTCAGTGCAGCAAGAATACCCATACAGAGTGAAGAAATCATTCTCTTCAAGACACAATAACAAGGCTATTCGCTGCTTCTATTACGTGCTTTTGCTACCCAATAACCCTGAAATACACACATTGGGAGCACTGTGCCTGTGAGATGAGACTGCTTTTCATAAATATTCTTCAGAGCTTCTGAGAAAAGCCTCTTTTCTTGGTCTCATTAAAAGTAAAAAATAATGTTGTTACCTTCTTTTCTAACTGCTGTCAAAACCATTAGAAGAAAATTATGCAGAAAAGTAATTTTCCAGAAATGAACGTCCAGCGTAAGAAACAAAGGCACCTCATGAGACACTTGGACATGCGACAAGCGTTGATGATTTGCTCTTCTTTCGAGATCTATCCACCATTTTCTTGTGCTTTCGTGATCTCAGGTGGTCCTCCCACACTTTGGAACCAAGAAACAGTCGCTGACACTCAGAGCAAAAGAATGTCCGCTTTTCTTGCCTGAGAGGCTCCTCCTGGGAGAGAGGTTGCAGCAGAGGATTCTCTTCACAACTCAGAAAACTCTTCACAACTGCCTCTGCTGGCCCACTCACAAGATCATTCCACTTCTCCAAGTCTGTTGCATCTAAACCATAAATAGGAGGGACAGGGCGATCTGGGCGGCGCAAAAATCTGTTACGGATCCAGCGAACCTGACGTCTTGCATACCTGTGAAGTGCAAAATATATTTTCTGTTAGGTATTGAAGTAAATACATACTGAGACTGGCTTACTTAAGAAACAGGCCATTGCCTTTTGAAGTTTCCTCATGAACTTTGGAATGGGTTCAAGAACTTTAGACATAGAGAAGCTTTCCACAACTTAACTTTGGACTTCAATGTTAAACTGATCATGAGGTCAACTTTGGTTGAATCTTACCTTTTGGTGGCAATTTTCAGGTTCTCAACACACTGCTCAAAAAGCTTCCTCCCCTTCTCTTCCCCTCTGAGATCTGGTTTTGTCATCAAATATGGATGAAACTCCTTGAACCCAATTGACTGAAAAATTCCTTCCTCATAGGTACACACTTCCCTTGTCATATTGTACTCCTTGTGAAAGGTCTGAAGTTCTTGGACCAAGCCATTTTGAAGCATCTGATCAACCCGGTCATCAAGACGCCTATCCAAAACCTCCTGCTGGCACTGCACCCACAGAAGGCAGACATGGTTGAATCTCAGAGGTCCACCCAAGCTGTTGCCACCTGCCTCTTCTTTTTGCCGTTTGATGACTTCACTGAGAGCAGTCCCCTGAGTGTGAAAGACCTCAAGGGCACGAATTACTTTACGTCTGTCATTTGGATGCATTGCTTCTGCTGATTCTGGATCTAACTCCTTCAAGAACGTGTGGAGACTAGCATTGGACAAGGACTCCAATTCAGGAGGCATGCCTCTACTTTTCCTCTTCTTTGATGTTTCCACTTCACAGATTGAATCAGGAGTGGATTCATTTGTTGTCAGAGGTTTCAAAACTTCATGCACTTTACTACACGAACAAGGACTATCCTGCAGTAAAGGCTCCTCTTGAATGGGGGATACGAGGACTTTCCACAACAGTGATTCAATATAGTAATGAGTTCCACCCACTATAACAGGCAGCTTGCTCTGGCTATGCAAGTCACTTATGATATCTAGAGCCCTATCTCGGAATGTAGTGACGAAGTAGTCTGTCGACAGGGGGTCGAGGAAATCCAACATATGATGTTTCACCAAGCGACGCTCTTCGGCCGTAACCTTATTTGTGATAATGTTCAGACCCTTGTAAACCTGCATCGAATCGGCACTGATCACTTCCCCGTTGAACTTTGTGGCGATCTCGAGAGCCAGCTTGGATTTTCCCGTTCCAGTGGCCCCGATTACGACAACGAGAGGGCGTAAGGAACGCATGTCGACCGTGATGGCCGCCATATCAGCAGCGGGCGCGAATCCGCGTTGCGTCATTCATGTCGTCTGCTAGAAGTCTGAGGGATAGCGTAGTCTGCTACAGATGCGAGTGCGCTCTCTTTCTTGACGATACTGATCGGATGGGCACGAACGCCGCTTGATAATCCGTTATTTCATTCTCAGATCATAAATCTAAAAATCGATTGAAAATAATTACATGTTATAATATTACATATGCGCTACTGCTAGTAGCGCAATATGACAATCTAAACCGAACGTCGGCATGAATATTGCTTCCCCTGTGCTGAAGTTGGCCAGGTACTTATTACTACTTGTAAATAAGTAAGACCAGAATAGACAAACCTCATATAGGGGGATTAAAGGGGCCTTTAAGCTAAAGAACTCTTTCCCCATTGGAGTCCGTGTTTTCTTTAAAGACCGTTAGCTAAAGAAGGTTTCAGCATTTGGGGCTATGGCTTTACGTTTTCCAGATCCCAGCCAGAGATTATGCATTCTTAGACATGCATGAGCTCACTGTCAGTGAACTGTGACCTATTTGGAAACGATAGCAACTGCTATGAAGATTTAATCAGAAGTGACGAAATGCCATGTTTCATCACGTTGATGTTTCTCTTTTACATGCAAAGTGACATCATACCACTGTGATGAGATAATGTTCGTTTCGTTATTCATGCCAATTTCTATTATATCTATGTTACGGGAGAAAATGTGAATTCCTTCGCGTTATTTCCTTCCTGCCATGTTACCCGATCCTGATATATGTGATGTCGGCACTCCTCCGCGACGCGTCGGTCCACGAGCGCAGCATCAGCCGATCCTCCCTGGGACGAAATGGAAAAAACTCGCGGCGCCCCACCGAGAGGCAAACGACCCCCGCACTCGAACGCCGGGCGCGACCTGTTCTGCAGCCGGCCCAGCGCGCGAGTCGGATACGAGACGGGGAAAAAAGGGAAACGGAGATAAGAAAAAAAAGGTGGGGAACGAGGAGTCGATGGTTGCGAAGGGAGTGGCTCAGCGTCGTCCGAGGCTCTTCACGCTTCGATGAAAAGAATGAGCCATCGACGCGAATGAATGGGGAGACGCTGGGCGAACCGGCTGGTCTTTGAACCCTATAATTGATAACACGTAGCGGTTTCCGGTCCTGGCTCCCGAAAACGATACGTCGCGAACGTGTTGCATTCCGGATGAGCCATCGAGGCGGCATGCTTTGCAGTTGGCGATATCTTCGAGTCCTACTCTTGTTATTGTACGGGGAAGTCGCCGTCGGCGTTTGTGAGGATTGTTTACGTCGATCGTGGTGCATAGGCTCTTAAAGAATTCGTCCGGATTTTTTTCTCTCGGTCCCATTCATCGATGGAATGGTGAATTCCGGCGTGGTTTCCGTGCCCTCGCCGGCAGATGATTCGGTTTCTTTGAACTCCCCCCGGCGAGAGTGATGGAACGGGACGGCACGAGAAGAATCGAGGGACTGCGGGTCCGCGAAGCGAGGAATCGGATAGGATATGTGAGACACGTCTAGGAAAGTGGTCTCCGCCGGGCCAATGACCTCCCCTCGCTCTCTCTCTCTCGCTCTCTCGCTCTCTCTCTCTCTCCCTCGTGTGTTCGCCGCATACCTGGCGCAACGCGCCTTCGGGGGGGGAACGGGCAGTGCGGGGCTCCCTTCCATCGCGTCGAGAGAGGTCGGGGATTCTCTTGCACTCGAGTCGGAGGAGTCGTCGTCGTCGTCTTCGCTAGGGAGTCGATCGACGGCGGGTGGCGAGTGGTCAGTGGTCAGTGGTGAACTGTGACCGGTGACTTGGAAGGGTGGTGAGTGGGCCATGGTGGAATGGGACGGTCGCGGCGGAATCGGAAGACACTGCCGGGTTCGGCTCTGGTGCAGTCATCGTGTCACTGTTGTCGTCTCCTCGATCCTCTCTGCGGGTAAATAACGATAAATAAAAAAAAGAAAAAGAAAAAAGGGGTGGGGCTGGGGGTGACTCCTTGCTGAGCGGTCTGTTCGGATGCCGCTTAGGCTAGCGTCGATCGAGGAGGAGGGATTGGCAGCGGAGGAGGTGGTGGTCGTTTCCCCGGCTTTCCTGCATTTCTGCCCAGTCTGCAACATCCAATTGAATTCCTGCGCTCAGGGACTCGTTCACGTCCGCGGGAAGAAGCATCAGCGCCGGTTTCGCAACTTCCATCTTCGGCTCTCGGACACCCCTGCAGGTGAGTGTTTCCGGTCGGCCTCTCCTTCCCCCCCCCCCCCTCTCCCCCCCTCCCCCCCCATCTCCTGCTTTGCCCTAATTTCTATTAGGACTGTCATTTCTCGTCCATGAGTCCATCTGGATCGGGTCGGTGATCGTACGTGAGGGGCCTCGAAGGCCATGAGGCCGAAAACTCGGGGACTTCGCATTCTTTTTTTTTTTCAATGGAGACCCCTGCCTCTACGCGCGCGGAATGATAATGCTTGGAAGGCAGGAGTCGCCGGATTCTCTTCTCCCCGGCGATGGCTCCCTCGCCCCACGAAACAATCGAGTCCTTTGCATCCGACACTCCCGGGCGGGACCAGAAACAGGAAACCTCGGCATCCGCACGAGTCGGAACGCATATTTACGAAGGAATCCCGTTGGCTTCACCCTTTTTTTTTCTGTTTACCTCTTTAAGCGGTGCGGGATTTTTTTTTTTAAATTTAATTGGAGAAACCGAGTTAATGGATTGTTAGGGGAGACCGGTCGGGACGGTTGGGACATGGCAGTCCTGCGGTTTCGATCGCCGCCTCCACGTCGCAGGCGCGATCGTGCCACGATGCGCGGCGATGAAGGCCTGACCCCGATCCCACGAGGCTCCACGATCTCCCCGCAAATTTCCACCGATTCGCGGAAGCGATACGTGTCTGGTCGTAGACGTAACTGTGTTATAACTGTCCTCTCGGTACCATTTTGTCCCGTTAGACGCGTGGCATCTTGTTGGTCTGGTTCTCCACTGTTTTTTTTTTTTTTCCTGCTTTGCGGATTTTCTTCTTTCTGTTGATTTTCTTTTCTAAGGGTGGATTTTTGAACCGAGCACTATCCGATAATGCAATTCTATTTTCAGGGGAAATACTTTATGGGTGGATTTTTGAACAGAGAACTATCCGATAATGCAGCTTTCTTCCAGGGAATATCATGTATTTTCTCTGGAATAAAGCAGCAATATCGGATAGTTCTCTGTTCAAAAACCCACCCTTAGTTTCGGAGTTGCACTCCCCTTTCGTTTTTCGTTACGTTCTGAGAAACCGGGCTCTCGTGCTGGCCGTCGAGTCAGAACTCGGAGGGATAACAGTAAATTGTAAAATTTGCGTAATTTAATCGATGCTATGGCGATTGCATTTGGCATTCGTTTTTCCAAAACGGAGAGGGAAGTGCAGAAATATTCTTTTTGCTCTCTCGTCATCCGATCACCCTTCGTCGCATCGCGTCCACGTTTGCGGACGAAAAGATGCCCGATCCTCTCGCGAGATTCGTCGCGTCCACGAACGTGGACCGTCGCGCCCCGACGCGAGCCGCTCGCGACGAAAAACGGGCTGAAAATCGGTGACACGGACGCGATGCGACGTAGGCCTCTCGCCCCTCTGACCCCCGAGAGTTGACTCTTTCCCGTCGGACGCAGGGCACGGATACCCGCTGCTGCATTATTCGGGGAGCCTGGCCTCGGGGATCCACTGCAGCCTCCTGCCGAACACCCAGCCTCATCCTCAGAGCATCAGGTCAGACGCCTTTCCCCTCCGACGCTTTATTCTCGGCGAGCTTCCTCGGAGGGAGGATCCCGGCAAGATCGCGACTCCGCGTCGGTCGAGTCCGACGAGCCCATCCGGGGGTCGGAATTTCGGAGCGGCACGGAAGGGGGCGTGGGGTGATTCCGCCGTTCCTCCGGCGGTTCCACGCCCTCTGGCGGATCCGTCTCCGGGCGTTCTCTTCTTTTCTCTCTTCGTGTTCTCCGATGTTTGGAGAGCGGAAGAGAGAAAAGCCGCCGTCTGTGACGTTGCATTCGAAGGAGCTCGCTACAAATTCGGATTTCCTGAGTTTTTTTTTTCTCTCTATCGTTTTCGTGATGGAATCGCTTGGTCTCCCGGCAGCACCTCTGGCTACACCAGCCCTGAAGATTCTAGTCAAGAGAAGGCGACGGATTCCGGGTCGGTGGCAAGCACCGTGAGCTACGCATCCGAGGCGGAATCGTGGCGGACGCCCAGGATCCCTCACGACCCGGTCCACCCCCGACGGCCCCCGACCGGGTCGCTCGGGGTCCACCCCCGTGGACCCCAGAACGGTCCCGAGCCCCAGCCGATCTACGCGGACCCGCGCGACGTCGCGTGTCTCTACGGGAGGCCGACGCCCCGCGGCGCTTACCCCCATTATTCGCCCCACACATATCAGGCCGTTTACCCGACTTCCTCCTACGGCCTCGTCCCGGACCTATATTCTTCCCCCGTGACCGCGCAGTGCATCGAAGACCCGCATGACCCTGGGGAAGCGTACTCGCGCAACTCCGGGGAAGCGTATCCGCGTGACACCGAGGAAGCATACCACCAGAACGGCGAGACGGTGCCGACGAAGGTGACCTCACGCCCGGAGGATTCCGCCTCGACTAACGGACACAAGAGACCGAGGGTGAGCTCTCTCTTTCGAATCGTTTCACCTGTCACCTGTCACTTGTCACCGTCGCGCGACGCAGATGGCCGATATCGCGCGTCGAACGCACGGTCAGTTTTTTTTTCCCGAAGGCCAGAAACGTCCGACGGAAGACTCCCGGAGGGGACACGAACGTCAACCCGTTCTTCATGCCCCCCTTTTTTTTTCCTGTTACTGTGATCCGTGAGATGTAGAGCATGGATAAAGATATGCCAACTGCATATATGTCATACCTCCCGGTGACATTCATGTTCCCGGGGAGAGTTATGAGTCTTTTCATTCGGCCCCACCACCCATAAAATAATGCGGATCATGCTAGACCCTTGACAGTTGCATCGCCTACAGAGGAGCAACACGTTTCATGCTGTAATTCATCGCAGCGATGAGGAACTCCCAACTATGATGAACAGCGGAGGGAAATGAATTTTGTTTTTGTCCACAGATATATATATATATATATATTTTTTTTACGCTTCATGCCTGCACGTATATTGTGCATAGGGTTCGAGTGGGAAGTCGAGCGGCGAAGCATACTGCAACGTGTGCCACATGGAGTTCAATTCCGAATCGGTCTACCAGGTTCACTTGACAGGAATGAAGCATCTTAAGAGTGTCAATGCTCAAGAGGCCAATAAGGAAATCGAGTGAGTCTTTTTCCACGCTTACTTCCCCCCCTCCGTTTCTGCCTGCTATATCCAATGACAGAAGATGAGGGGGTGATATCTGGTTGTTTGCGTTGAGATGGTGGCGGATTTTCCCTTCCGTTTCGTCACGTAAGGGTTTCGGTCACGGTTATGCTTCTTTCAGTCGTCTTGTGACTCGCGTGCTTTTCTCGCGAGGCATGATGCAGGCGCTGCTGTAAAAAAAAAAAAATTCTTTTACCTTTATTCCAGTATTGTTCCTTCCTCTTTCAGGACCTTGAAGGACAAGGAGTATCGAGTCGACGACGAAGATAAGAATATCTTCACTTGCCTCATCTGTGATATTGTGCTCAATTCCGTGCAACAGCTCCATTCTCACCTCGGCGGTAAGCCTGCTTCGAAACCGCACGAGATCCCAACCTCTCTCGGGTCTTTGTATTCGATCGCGATCGCACGCTCGACAAAGGTAATCCGTGCAGTGCTTGACTTAGATGACACCCGACCGCGGTCGACTCCTCGTTTAGGTGGGAGGCACCTCCTGCGGAAGGCTCACGGGTCCCGCTCGAGCGGGAGTCAGGCGCAGTGGACGAGGGGAGGGCGAGAGGAGGAGACGAGACAAGGTGAGTGTGTCCGTGGGCATCGGCGGTTCGGTTAATGGGGACGGAGAGGTGTAAAAACGCCGATTTGGGACTTTCGTCGGACGGACTTCACGTGCCGATGCTTTCCAGTCTGTAATTATGACTCAGATGCTTTCAGGAGGCTTTTCTACTCATCATCTTCTCTGTCGATGTAGATAGCAACGAAGGGGGGAGGTTGCCACATGGGATCCTGCAAGTTCCTGTCAATAGTCAGTACAAATACGTCTGTCGTTTCTGTTCCTCCTACCTCAACTCTCATCTCCAGATCCTTCAAGTAAGCTCCACCGGACCGACGAGAGGTTGCTTATTCTAGGGATTTACACGAATCATTTCATGCACGATTGCAGCATGTCGGATCATCGAAGCACAAGTGGCTATCGTGTCAGAGAGAGGTGGAGAACGGCATGCGACCTGGGAAAAGAATCGACTGGCGGGCCAGGAAAACAGAAATGAAGCATATTAAAGCCATGGCTATGGCACACCAGATGTGAACTGCTCCAGGAAGATTACGTGTTGCTGACGTCTGTGACATCACAAACAGGATTTTTTGTTATGTTACGCTTTCGTTTTCATGCTGAATCGGTAAAGAATAAATCAGAGGCATTTATTTATTACCTCAAGAATGGTATGCCTTCACTTTCATTTAGGAAGCTTTGAATTGAGAGTTCCATTTAACCATCCAGCACAAGAATGTTTATTTTGCCTTAGGGGCAAGGTTTTTTTAACATTTAAATAAGAATCATCAGTTGTCCTCTTCATAACCAGTTGGTGATGCTATGGTGACTGACAGGACATTTAGATTAGTTTTTCTTTATAACATCAGCTACATTTAGTACATTTGTTGCAGCGTCTCGGAAAGTTTCAAAGTGGACCAGGGTTGAACGAGGGACCCATTTCGCAGCATTATTGAACAGATGGGAAATGGAAAATGTTAAGGGTTTCTTTCACAAGTACTCCATGGAAGCTTCTCCATCACAGCCACATGTTGACCAGATTGCTTGTATAGGATATCTGCAGCTGGGTGTGATGAAGAGTCATGAAACCATGTCAGGCATGTGGGGTTACTTCATGTCCAGGCTCCAGCAAGAATTCAGCCAATATCTCAACCTTACAGGCTAAAATGAATTGTGAAAGTTTTCAAGGGTGAAGTAACACAGGGAGCCAATATTCCTATCTCCTGGCAGTCAATAACTTGGCATTAAGAATTAAGGAAAGGTGCAAATGTATTTTTAAAATGTCAAGCTCTATGATGGTCAAGAACAGTGGTTCCCAAACGGTGGGTCGTGACCCACTGGACTCATGGAGGTTCAATGCGAGTAAAAGGAGGTTTGGGAACCACAGGTCTAAAAGACTGATGGGAAATCCCAAAATCTGGAACTCACAAGTTCTTATAAAGACCACAAATCTCATTCATTGATGGGGTGATGAAAACTATCAGTGCAGATATATATGCAGATGAAGAACAAAGATCATTGAGATAAATGAGTGCTGTTTTTTTTTCAGTTATTACTTGCAGTTTAACCCAGGAGATTTTAGGTATTGTTTTACTTCAGTTTTACAAAAAAACTTTTGAAGCCTTTTGTTTTTTTGTCTTGTTATTTTTTCAACAAAAATTTGTCCTCCAAATTTAGCTTCAGCTTTCGTGTCTGGTTTTTTGCTGCTGTGTTGTAATGAAGTTGGGCCAAAATGAGTCCAAATACAGATAGGATGCATTCATGCCATCTATATCTGCTAAGCATTAGTAAGGAAGACTTTCATTGATGTAATGGGATTTTGAATTAGATAGGCAGAGTTCACCATATATTTACTGGCCACCAACTAAAGTTCCTGCTGCAAATTGGGGCTCCTAAAAGTAATTTAAAAAAAAACTCTAAATGACCAGATGTTGCCTTTGTTCAGCTCAGTTGAATGAGGTGTGGAGAACGTCTTATGCAATTTTTTCAATTCTTTTTACTATCATGAAGAAATGATGAATTGCTCATCAAAATGCAGAAAACAGAATTGTTCATCTGCCCCTGCCATTCAACCTTAGACACTCAAATTCATGGGAGTGTCTAAGGTTCTCCTGCAGAGGTTTCCTTTTCATTGATGAGAAATCAAAACTCAATCTGTTCATAGCATCTTTACTTGTCCAGGCACTTTTCCACATGTAGGCCTAATCATACAGGTTAGGGAAAAAATAAAATAGACTCTGCATTGCTATGAAATAAATTACCCCATAAATCTTGATAACATCATGTGGTGTAATCATAATTCATTCTTCATATAATGTTTACTGCTACTGCATTCACAATTTCAATAGGCTGTTCGAAACAACCAGAAATTAAATCTGTATGTTTTAATAACTCTGCACTAACCAGTCTTTTTTGTCCCACCATTTATGTAACTTGAAAGACTCAAATTCTTAGATGGAGCATAAGACTCAGAGTTTATTGGCTTCATCATACAGGCATATGTAAAAATTCCCCAAGCAAGCAGTATTAAAATATTTCAATTGGAAAAAAAACTTATACTCTCACAAGGACTATCAATTTGAAAGACATAGTGTCACAAGAACCATCGATTTGAAAGACAAAGCACCAGAACTGACAAAAAGGTTGCACTTTTGCAATCTTACAAAAAAAATAGAGGACCTCAGGAATGAATTTTTCTTGCACCTGTGAAGGAAACAATATTTCTGAAAAATTCCAGTTCAAATGACCTCTGATGCTAGTAACTTGAGAAGTCTGGTATTTTCCAGTATGTCATGGCAACAATATTTTATTATATGTCACCAGATTATTTATACCTGTGAGCAAGCTGTAGGATGAGAACAGCATTCATAAACATCTGAAGAGCAGCTGCATACCCAGCAACTTTGACAGTATGCCTGGCATAGGTAGCTAAATGACCAGTCTCCAATTAGGATGGATCTTGCTTTGACTAACATAACACACCACTGCAGACAAACACAGTAATTGTGAAGTTCTGTCTCACAGCATTAGGCCAACATCCCAAATACATTGTCAGAGACAAGTACAAAATACATGTCTGACTCACTGATATACACAAGGCTGTATGCTCAGCAATGGGCTCAATTTAAAGCAAATTACCTCATCATTTGCTCATTCATTCAATGTCATTAAGCAGTGACAGTGTACATTTATAACAAGGGAGGCCAAAGGTCAAAACACATGGAAGAAGAATGGGATTGGATATATGTCATCAGGGTTGCCACATCTAGTTTAGTGAGAATCCATCATTTATTCCTCACCATTCCTCACCTTTTTCGATTATTTAGACTTCTTTACCTCCTTGTCCTTTGCATATTGTTGTAACCAGTCCTCAATATCTGTGACCTGAAATATAAGGGATCCAGCACAATAACAATAGCTGCCAGTATTTCAATGTTCCTCCAGGCAGAAAATGCAAAAACCTTGTAGTTGAATGTGCCAGGACCTCCAAGGTACTGGATGGTGCCATTCAAGATAATGGCAAGGCGTTCTGGTTGTGCAGCAAATGCAGAGTTTGCTTCATCAGTGATGTCATCCACTAGAAGAGGGCAGGGCAAATCCTCCACACTCTTCAAGTAATTGGCTGCCTGGATTCGATCCTCCAAGGTCCTGGGAAATAATGAAGCAGAAATACAATCTGGCAGCATTAAGGATGCCAGGCAATCAATTCATTCAAGATAGTGACTGGACAGGAGCATTCATAAAGTCAGCTATTGAGCAACAGTCTGCAGACATTGCTTTCCTGCCTTTCTGAATGCAATTGCTGCCGATTGCCTCTCCTTGCCGGCACTTTTGATTGACAAGCTGATGGTCAAACTTGTTTGTAATGAGGACTCATTGGTCAGGTTGGCTGATTTTTCTCCAGAAACTTTTCAGCAAGGATGGAGAGAAGACAATAAATGAGTTCAATTATGTTGTTGCTCTGTGTTGGTGTGATCACCCAGTGTCAAGGTTGAAAGGCTTTTCCCAGTATCATCTGTATTCTTAACACCACCACTAGCATGGAACCCACTGACAGAACCATCCATAGCCATGCTATAGGCCTGAGCTATTTTCATTACTCATTTTCTTTATACAGTTTCAAGGCCTTTAATACAGGCCTAGGCAAGATCAGCTTGAAAGCATATTCATACAAATCTTGTTTTTCAGCCTTTCCATTGTGAATTCAAGCTGTAATTAGGCCTTCATTAGTGTTAGACCAATAGTTTCTTGTGCTATGACAGGCCTAATAATAACTGAGATCCAGGAGGGGCATGGGAGGAATAACTTTCTGATCTTTACCCTTGACCTTGATGCCAATATCCTTACTTGGTAGGTCAAATATTGGTCTCCATAATCATTTCAGGCTCAGTCTTCAAAACCATTACACAAACAACAATTCTGTATTCATGCTGGAGTTAGCTGTTTTGGATAAGTGTAACTCCTAATACAGGAAAACCTCGTTAATTCGAAATCCAGGGGATAAAAAAATTCCAACTTTGAAATAAGGGGGTTTGAAATTATCCAGTTTGATCATTGTTATTTTGTAATACTGTACATGTCTCTCAACTGTAATAAATCATTTCATGCATAATAAAAGAAAGACCTGGTTTTCAATTTTTGTATTTACACTGCTGCAATTACACATAAAAAATTGCCAGCAATAATTAACACATGTTAATGAGTGATGTCACATCAGAAGTAAAAAGAATTGAATTGTGTCATACAATACCTTTGCTTTCATCCTTATTCTTAGTCTTCAATTTTTCTTTCTTGTCCACTTCATGAATGATTTCTTATTTGTGAAATATCTGTGAAATACTTAACTCATTGTACTTCCTCTTGTTTGCCAAGGAACATTCACCCTTGTTTCACTCACAACATAGAGAGAGAGAGAGAGAGAGAGAGAGACTGTGTTGCCACAATGCAAAGTTTTTTGACTGAAGGTCATACATGGTGTGAATGAGATAGGTAAGAGTAGAGGGGGAGATTTAGTGAAAGGGGGCATTAGTCTATATTTAGAATTCTTCTAGATAGAAAAATGACATTTCCAAGGCAATTAGCTGGCTTTGCAGCCATTTAGAGTGTGAGGTTTGAGACAGGTCATCCGTAGGTTGTAGGGAAAAGTACCCTTCAAAGTAAACTAACACGTTTCTGAGTTTATAGCTCACTGGACCAGAAAATGCCTTTGAATCTGATAGTATCTACAATTCAAAATATCCATAGGATAAAGCATACAAATCACTATCCTCTCAGACAGGGAATGTAGATGACTTTGAAGTATATGATACTTCAAACTATCCAATACAAAATTAACGAGGTTTACCTGTAATGAACCATAAGGGAATCTTATCACACCAGGACTGAACTGGGAAACTGTGGTGTCACACTAACAAAGTAGGCAGAGATCAAAATAAGTTTTTTAAATATTAACATTAAAAAAATTAACTTAATTTGGTTATTCAGACATGAGGAAAGTTCCCAGCAGAAGTCCCACAGAACCTATAATAAAATTCAGTTTAATCCGAACATCATTATTCTGTAATTTCCAATTATAGGGGCAAGTTTTCTTATCCCTTGTGCCATTCTCTCCTGTTAATCCAGGTTTAGACAGATAAAAGAGATATAATACAATCATGTAATGAGGTATGCTCTCTTCATCAAGACTTTTTCTCATGCTCTACTGTCATGTCACTCTTTCTGTCAGTTTCATCCATCTGAGCAATTAAAGCCTCTATAGGTTTCTTATTTCCCATTATGAGCAAGTGTTCTGTGGGTGATTCATGTGGGATAGAAAAATTATCACAGTGTAAGACATGTTGGACAGTTTTCTTTCACTCCAAACGAAGATGATTGAGAGATTTAAAAAATTCCTTGTTGGTTCCATTTGGAAAAGCTCATGTCCCTCAAAATGTCTAGTTCTCCATCTGACACAGGAAGCATTTGAAGATTTAAATGTATTCCAGAGTAAGACAAACGAGGGGCATTCAAAAAGCTTCCAGCCCAAGACACTTCCAGTTGTAATATTGGGAAGATTGGAAAGTTCTGGCCGTTTCGAGAATTTTCCAGGAAAAAATTTCTGGAACTTTCTCGAACCTTCCACGGTAGCAGTATACAGTATAAAGGGTGTGTGGGCGTGATTACGCAGCAGTTGCTTAGTCGTTAAAAGCCTAAAACCATGACTTCCAAAATCGACTTTAACAAGACCGCCCAACGTCAGTGCCTTATTTACGACTTCCTATCTGGCATCACAGCAGCCGAATCGAATCGCCGCATTTGCGCCGCGTTTGGCCAAGGTGCAGTTTATGAAAGGACAGCGCGACGATGGTTCGATCGTTTCCGGTCTGGAAAAAACAGCCTCGAGGATGAGCTCAGGTCAGGCTGCCAATCTGAAATCGACGACGAGCAGTTGCAGCACACGGTGGAAGCCGATCCGAGGCAAATTACCCGCGACTTAGCGATAGCACTTAGCTGCGCCTAGTCCACAATCGTGACGCACCTGGCTGCAATCGGCAAGAAGAGCAAGTCGGGTCAATGGGTACCCCACGATCTGACCGACCGCGACCGCGAACGCCGTGCCGAGGTGTGCACTTCGCTGCTGTCGTACGAGCGCACAAACGACTGGCTGGATTCCGTAGTCACTGGAGACGAAAAGTGGATGCNGGTGTGCACTTCGCTGCTGTCGTACGAGCGCACAAACGACTGGCTGGATTCCGTAGTCACTGGAGACGAAAAGTGAATGCCGTACGACAACTACCGACGCAGGCGCCTGTGGGTCGATGCCGATGCCCAGCCAGAGCCAGAGCCGAAAGGTGACCTGCACCCCGAAAAGTCATGTTGTGCATTTGGTGGGACGTGCAAGGCGTGATCGACTTCGAGCTGCTCCCACCCGATACCAGCATCACCGCCGCCTACTATTGCGATCGGCTGCAGAAGCTCGCCAACAAACTCCGCACGGTGAGGCCAGGGCACCGTCATGTTCGATTCCTGCACGTCAACGCAAGGCTGCATATCGTGAAGATCACACGGCAGAAACTGCTGGATCTGGGCTAGGAGATTCTGCCTCACCCTCCATATAGCCCAGATCTGGCGCCAACCAATCTCTTCCGCGCTCTGGACAACCGTCTTCGCCAGAAAAGGTTCAACGATGACGCCAAGGTCGGAAACTAGCTGACTGATTTTTTCGACTCACAGCTAGCTCAGTTCTACAGGGATGGAATCAGGAGTCTGCCTGATCGTTGGCAGAAGGTGACTGAGCAGAAGGAAGACTGTGATGGCGATTACTTCGTTGAATGAACTTTTTTTCTTAAAAAAAAAAAACTCGGTTGTATGGAATATTCTCGAAACGGCCAGAACTTTCCGATCGACCCAATAAAATTCTTTGTCAACTCTCCTCCCTATCTCCATCCACGGTGACACCCACCGCCTAGGGATAACCGAAGCCTTCCTGGAAGTCTCGGAATGTATTTAATCCTGACCCAAAGACCAAGATCCGTAATTTGGGTTCGACTTGCGCCTTAACTGTGCCCTCTGTCCTGTGTGCCTGAACACTTAATATCTTCGCCATGTCTTCCGAGGATGTGGGGCATCGAAATCGACATTGGAGACACTGACATCGTCGCCGAACCCAATGTTTTTTTTTCCGAGCTCCATGATGAGCTCCGACCCCAGGGTAGTAAGTCTGGGCATGCCCTACAGAATCCATTCATTTGGGTTGAAAAGGACGAATCCCCTTGTCATTCAATCGAATGACATAAATGCGGATGTACGACTAGCTCGACGCCATCACAATAGAAAAATTCCCCTTCTTCGTGGGGCTTTTACTGGGAGATCGTAACTGAGGCAGCCAAAACCACCCCCTCCCCCCTCCCCCCTCCCCCTGCTTCTCGGCTGTATCACTGGTATACCGCAGTATTGAGCCACGGTAAACCTATCGAGGAATTCAGCGCATACCGCAACGCCATAAAAGGAACTAAACAAGAATCAGCAGTTCCTGGATGGAAACTGCATAACTCATGCAATGAACACTCACGACTGGCTGGGGCGTGGACAGCGAAGGCACCGAGTGTAGTGTCCAAGAATGCCCGATCCCTCTCCCGCATTCTCCTCACTTGGGTTTTCATCCAGAGTGAATCACGTTACGGTGGTAGCCAGATCTCTTTCACGCCTGACCGGTGATCACAAATTTTGCACAAGTACAGTACAACTCCATGTTCTTCCACGTCGTCTTATTCCGATTCAGCTCCATTGCACCTTCCGTCTTAAATGAGATGGGAGTTGCAAAGGCATCGCATTCTGGGGAGAGGACAGATAGAAATGGAAACTGCGTCTTGGATGTACAGTGGTACCTCACATAACGAACGCAATTCGTTCCAGCGGTGCGTTCGTTATGCGAGGTGTTCGCGAGTGAAAGTGAAACATTTTTTCCTAATTTCCTTGATTTTTCGCGGCGACGTGGAACGGATTACACGATTTCCCATAGAAGTCTATGGGAAATCGTGTTTCGCATAAACACCTCACATAACGAACGCACCGCTGGAACGAACTGCGTTCGTTATGCGAGGTACCACTGTATTTACCACGAATTACAAGGATAACGTTTAGCCATTCAAGATTATTGGTTTTTTTTTAAATTTCGTATTCGATGTTCCTTCATAAGCATATTTAAAACATGCACCTATTACACTGCAGTCTTAAGGAAAATTCACGATGGAACTAAGTGCTGCAAGAAATTGAATTCCTATAACCTGGGGAAAGGTCAATATCAACTACCACAATTTCTGTTTTTAGATTTCTGTCATGACAATTAGAAAGTAGAGTGCAATTGTCAACATTTTTCCGAAATGTAACCGGAGTCACGATGGAATTACCGAGTCAGTGGAATTACCCTGGAGTATCGACATATGCACTTAGTAAAAATGTTTCTTTGCCTTGACAGCCCTCAAGTAGGAAACAGCGCTTTCCCCACGTAAATTTTGTCCTTAGAGACTCATTATCATAAGCGTAGTGCAGATAGGGCCAAGGTGGGCCACTTTCAGGCATTTTGTGTTGGAGAAATAGAGCCATGCAGCAAGTTAAATTTTAAAACAACCTGAAAAAGCTCTCTATCTATCTCCATGCCATCAGAGTACTTTGTATTCATTTGGATTTAGGAAATGATTCCCATGAGAAGACTTAGTGTCCCAAGCTACCCAAGGCCAAGGGAATGGTAGGATAGCACTTAAGGTATCCCAAAATATTCACATTATGGTAACTGAGAACATGTGAAAATGTTCTCTTCATCTAATTTTGTGCCCCGTGAGTCAGACAAAGGCGAATTTCGGAAAATGTATGAAGAAGCAACACATTTAATAACCTCATGCTCACATAAATGACACAACATTGAACAGTCCTCAAATGAAATGAAATGAAAAATCAATTTATCAACCAGTTAAAATTTCCTGACTCGACAATCAATCAACAAAGTAATCAAATGTGGACACTACGAATGGAGGTTAATGCGGCGAATGCCAAATGTAAATCAACTTCAATCTGATGCATAGATGATTGGAATTTTGTTCAACTTACTGTCTGAAGTGAAGGCAAAACAGCCTCAAATTCTGCCTCATCCACCGGCTGTAATGTCCTCTGGCAATGGTTCAGGAAAGTACTTGCTCATTTAATGAGCTTGCAGAACAGTCTTCCATCATACTTGTCAAGACGCCAAGTGAACCTTGCTTCAAAGGTCATGTCCCACAAGACCACACACACCACAGGGTGCAGATATGATGTGCTGGACAAAAATAACTAAGGAGAAAGATGTGTGATAAATGGGAGTTAACTTGAAAAAAAGTTGCAAGAATAGCAGCAAGAATAACGTATCTATAGACCTTGTAATTCATATAGTATCAGCAAGAACATTTCAACACATTTTCAGGACTCTAGGCAAGGCAAAACTTAGTAACACGCAAATCGAATCCAAAAGTGCTTATGTGTATGCAGGGAGCTGCTGTCTGCCATTGCAAATGCAGAAAGACAGACAGTGTCAGTCCCACAGCGCTCCTGACCCAATCAATTCCAGTCTCCCCTTCATCCTTGCTGTGGCCAAACAATTGAGGATGGCTCGCTTGAGACCCATTCACATTTTCACTGCAGAGCATCTCAATCAGCCAACATGAAGAATCTCATAAAGAATTCACCATCTCACTTGAGAATGCAATATACCAGACTGACAAAATCAATGACCATACAGAAGTTCCATTGCTCCCATGGGCACTCTTGACATGTCCATATGTAGGTGTTGCTAAATTACCATGACTCCAATTTAATGTCCACAGTGCCAATGGGATCTATAACGAAATACAAGATGGTACAGCAACAGGAAGAAATATAAAATGTAACTCAGCTAGAGATCAATTCATCCAACTTGCAATACCCATACAGTAAGAAGGGAAAGGGAAGAAGGATTTGGCAAGGCCACTGACCAGAAGAGGCTCCACCTGGGAGGAAGGCGAAGAAGATCATATCCATGTATATGCACACAAACCAGAATGACACTCAGCCCTTTCTCCTGGAAGTCTGAGTTTATATTTTGCATGTCCAGGTCAGGAGGATGTTGCTTGGTGGTAGGATGTTAAGTGAGGAGGTGGCTCCTCTCCCTAGTGTCCTTAGATGGTCACCTGTTTCGGGGCCCACACTCTGATGAAGAATTTTTCCACATATTGGACAATAATGGTGAAACCACAAAATTACAATGGGCTAACATATGTTCAGAGCAACTCCTGATAAATGTCAGTATTTGCATAACAGCAGAAAACCAATCAAGATTAAAAGCATCTTGACCTACACCAAGCAGCACTCTACAAGTTTTGATGTTTTCCTGACTGGCAGTCCATGGAGTCATGACAGTCTCAGCTGACAGCTGAATGAAGTGCATTCCTTTGGTCAGATGAGATACATCTGTAATACACACCTGCTTTCTTCAGAGGCAAGTATTTTTTATCTTGCAAGGGTGTGGATGCACCAAGCAAAACCCTTCCAGAATGCCTCTAAAGCCCAAGCAAGAAACTTAAGGCTTAAGCAATCAGAGAAGCGAATAAATTGACCAGGCCTTTTCCATAAAGGAAGGGTATAGTTGGGAGAGAAGTGATCAGCCATCAAGTTTTGCCTCAAAACAAACAAAATGCAGAACAGTGTACTATCCATCTAGTACCTATAGCCTTGAACTTGTTAGCTGCCATCAACATGAAAATTTATTATAAGAGAGATGAAAGTAACCCTTGATTATTCACAGGCTTAGCCATTCAATGAGAATTGTACCAGGTGCCTCAAAAAGATGCTACATTGGAAAAAAGTTCATTAATATAGTATAAACAAATTTTATTTGGCAAAAACATGCATCAAAATGGGAATTAACCCTAAGAGAAGTGTGAATTCTCCACATGATGCCCACCAACCTGGCATACCATAAGATACAATGTGCCATGTGTTTGAAAGTGCATTGACCAAAAGCCACTTCTGCAATAAAGCTTTTTCAAAATATGACATATTTTTGGGACACCAGGTATTGAATTTCACTCATCAATGCAAAAAAATAATATTATTGGTATACAAGGGTTTCCACATTTCTCCTTTTCATGTCCTACATGACAAAAGCATTAAACACACACCATGCAGAGAAGTTTGAAAAAAAGAAAATGCAATCCTGCAAGCTAGTATCTCCTTAGCCACAAACCAAGAACCAAAAGGTTCAACTTTGTAGGCTTTCTACGCACAATTTTGCCAAAAGTCACTGCCATACAGTACTTTGCAATAGTCTCACCTGTTGATATAGTGTAGGGGGTCCCAAGCACAAATGTAAACTGAATCCCAGGGCAAGGATACCAGACAATTGAAATCATCAAGTTAAAACATTTTTCACCTTACTGCAGAGCAGGCCCAAATTTAGCAGTAGCTTGGCTGGACTTTCTTGCAACTGACACCCAACTACCAGAGGTGTATTTTACAAGGGGAAAGGAGGGTGACTCCCCTCCCTGGTGCCCCTGGGACAGAGCTTGGTACCCCTTGGAGATCATATTTTTCTCCTCTGATATTGCTTGGATGGGGTTTGGCAACTCCGCTCAGGCCTGCCCAGAGGGGGGTACATCAGAGACAATCTGCCTCACGTAACAAGGGGCCACAAGGGGACTTCCTAAGAGCCTCAAGGTGGCATCAGAGGTCTCCAAGGGGCCTCTGAATTAGTTTTGCCCTGGGCCTCTGGAAGACTCTAGGTGGGCCTGCCCCTGCTCTGCTGCCCTGCTCCCCAGCTCTTCAGCCAAAATAAGTCTCTGTCATCTATCATCCCTTCTTAAACACATTGAGCTCCTGTGATACATATCTACTCTCAGGCATTTGCTTGGTTGCCTATGCTCACAGTGGTATTACTCCATATCAACTATCATTTGCATGGGTGGACTTAACTTGAAGCAATATTGTGCATTTGATCTAACTATAATGCACAACTTTCAAGCGAGCCTCAAGAATTTCACTGAGACTCATTGCATTTATTACAGATAGGTGAAAGTGTTCAAAACCTCTTCATTTCAAATGAAGCCTGTGGAGGTTGTCATGCACCTTCCCAGAAGTATTTCAGAATTCTTCACAGGGGGACAGTTGTTCTTCAATGGGGATGAGGAAGTACCTCCCATCATTCTTCCTTGATTAACAAAACCCTACCAGGCTACAGAAATGGGGGCATTCTGTCCCACACATACTTCCACTCTGTGTGCTTTCTGTTTCCCTCATTGATCTGCAGGGAAAATTTCTAAAATAAGTATTGGGAAAGAAGCACCAAATAGCTAAACCATCAATGAATAAGTCATCATTATGTCTTTCTCAAATCTAGTGGGCTGAGATATAAGTGTCATGGAATAAACTCATAGAGCTTGAATATTTGATTCTCAACATAGGGAAAATGCTATTCTTGAAGACCAAGTCTTAAAAACTGAACTCTTTTAATGATAAAAGATGAATCCATCCATCCATGGATCATTCATATGGGTGTCCATTTTTTCATGCCCAGGCATTTTCTTTCTATCCTACACTTTGCAGTAAATGAAACTATAGAACTGTGGGGCATCTTTCC